CCCTACACGACGCTCTTCCGATCTCCCCAAAACCCCAAAACCCCGCAAATCAAGATAAGTTATAATAAAGATGGTATCAAAATAAAAAGTTCAGAAAAAGCAATCATCATAATCATCGACTAAATCATCAACAAAAAAATCATTATCTATTAAAAAGGCGATTAGTACTAAAAAGAAAACTAGCAAGTCTTCATCTTAGAAAATTATGGTTAAAAGTAGCCAAAAGCCTAGGGTGATTATTGAGATATAAAAGAAAAGATTAATACCGTAGAAAAAAAATTTAAGCGAATTAGAAGAAGAGAAAGAGGAAAAAGAAATTATTCAAAAACCTTAGATTAGATAAAAAGGAGTATCATACAGTAATCTAGGAAACTACTGTATCTTTGATGACTTAGTATAATATTTGGAGCATGAGACCAAACTTAATTTGCACGATCAGGAAATATTGACGGTAATATTCTTAAGCTTTAACTTTTTCTTAGAAAGATCAAACTAGAATTAGAAATGAGATTTTGTTTCCATTTCTTAAAGATAATGCAGTAATGGAAGATAAAAATGATACGCTGCTGCTAGAGAAGGAAAGAGTTTAGGAATTCTTGAATATACTAGCCTCAATGTTTTCTGAGATCAAAGTGATAGCATTTAATTATCCTGCTATTACTTTTAAGAAATGGGTAATGTAGCATTTTAGTTAACTTTCCTTAGGTTAATTACAAACCATAAATGCATTTAAATGAGAACATTAAGCCAATTTTACTGATACGTAGACATGACTTGAACCTACATAAATATGACACTAGGAATAAAAACTTGCTGAAGATACTTGAACAATCCGGGGACTACATTGACGAAATCGATTTAGACATGCTACGCAAGAAATAAAAATTAGATATGCAGAATTACAAATAACCCTAGCCAAAATGGATGAATTTTGCTTGGGATGCTTTTAGAATCGTAGATAATCATAGCAAGAGTATGATATTTATGATGCCTGATGAGCCAAAAAATGAAGAGTATCTTGACTATATCAAATGTGTTGATAAGCCTATATCACTTGAAACTATAAGGGTAAGCAATCAATATGAACTGTACTTTTATTATAGAATAAGTTGAATATGAGGCACTACACTGTTTTTGAAGAATTTATAGATGACATGAATACTCTATTTGATAATTGGATTAAGTTTAGAGGAGTGGGTAATGAATTATTTAACTTTTAACCAAATTTAGAGCATAAAATGTTTAAATACTGCGATGCGGTTCAGAAAAGATTTGATAAATTCGTAGAAAAAGCTAAGCAAAAGAGTAAACAAGATTCTTGAAAATACATACTATCTGATAATCATTTTTGGACTTTATTAATTTTTTCACTTAATCACTGTAAATAAGGCAAAATGGGGTTTTGGGGTTTTGGGG